GAAACATCTCCATGTTTGCCAGTTTTATTCCCATACCTTCAAACTGTTATTCAACAATCGCACTAATATTTCCAATCTCTTCCCCAAGCTGTGAATACTTCATTTCCAGTTCTGTATCTTCCAGGGTTTTTTAAGCACTTTTCTTGTGTAAGGGATTTTTTCCTCCTCAATTTCAGTCAGCCAGCAGCTGGGGTATACCTACATAGTGGGTGCAATGCCTCTAGTTTCCAGTTTCCCATGTGCTTTCTCTCCTATTTGCCATGTCTTTCCTGAGGTCATGTGGGACAGGCTGGGTGGGCAAGTACAAATTGTTCTCATCAGCTGATCTCAGGTATCTGGTAATATTTTGGCAATGTTAATGCAAAGTGAGGTCTATTTTTTTACCTTTACCAGTTTATTCCATAATGGGTCTGCATATTCAGCTGCTTGCACATGCAGTAGCCTTGGATGGTGCTAGGTATAAAATCACGCTCATAATGCATACGCTTCTTCAAAGTGTCATTCTGGGAATTAACCTTGTACTTAGTCTTTTTCATGTGTATCCCATGAGAAAGGGAGTCGTATGATGTTCTGTGAATTGGATCTTAACAGTGTGTGCTGTAGCCCATTCCCAATTATGAGCCAGTATTTATTGGATTTATAATTCTGAGATGTGATTCACTTACATTTTCTTGATTGGCTTATATTTGGTTTTGACATAATAATTGAGAGCAAATATGCTCCAAACTACCTTGCTAATTATTGAACAATCATCTCACCTCTCTCAAGCAGAGGAAACAGAGTAAATTATTTGAGTAGTGGAAAAGGGAGTATGTCGGTTGAAAAACATGTTTTTGCGAGACGATACTGGATCTGACAATACAGACGTTGGCAAGAATGAAAGGAATCCCAGTTCAGTTTTGAAAAAGGTATATTTTCACAGAGAACATGTCTTTTCTGGGAACCTTTAATTTAATGTACACTGGTTTCTTATTTTAGGAAAACAATTTGCTGTTAAACACTATGCCAGCCAGACTTACATTTTTAAAGCAAAAACTCTTTGTCCTGAAGTATTTTAATGGCCTAAAGAGCAGGAAATTGCCTGTGACATTTCAGTTTTTCCATTCTAAGGGAAAAATGGTCCAAGGTCTAAAAATAGCTCTCTCCTGAAAAACACCCTCCCTCTCATCATTTTAATATACCATAAGCCATGTGACAACAAAGGTTTTTTCTTTCTGAGTGTAGCGTTGTTTTTAATCAGCTAAATGGGCAATTAAGACTGTCTTCATGTAAAACTGCTGACTTGAATAAAAATTTTGTTTACTGACTTAACCTGAATAATTTGATGACCGACTCTGCAGTACAATGCCTGCAGTTCCTCCCTCTTCCTTTACCTGAACACAAACGATGTTGATCAGAATTGCATATTAACCCGGAGAGAAAATCTCAGTAGACTTTGGGCTATCAGCTTGTTTTACTGTTAGGCACTTTTCAGCTCCATCCACTATTTGAGCATCTCTCTTTGAGAGGAATATTGAACATATATTCATACACATTTTGATCCGTGGCCATGCATGTACAGGTGAGGTAGATGGTATGCATAAGTAAGGTTAATAAAACACATCATGTGGTAGATTAATGCCAAGGAATATGTTATGGAGGTCAAAGATGGATGCCTTGTCGATGAGCCTAGATACCCAGCAGAACTCAAAGGGAGCCTTGGTATTCAGATCATCCCCCTAGCCGTGAATTGAGACATGTGAGTGAATCACAAGATGCTTGTTTATTGTCAACTCAGAAAAAATAAAGCAAGACTGGTTTATGTGTAGACTGAGGCCAGCATGGAGACATTCCTAGACAGGGTGGAGCCCACAAGGCGAGCGGTGCTGTCACTGGGGAGGCAGCAGGTCCCAGTCTGCACTGAAGCCGCCCGATACGATCTCTTCGATCTCTTCGGTGGTGAAATTTGCTTAAGAGGTTCTTGTCCCTTATCTCTCTGCCTCGAGGCCTCACCACTCACTTCTGTCTTTGCATTACAGCTCGCTGCCTGTCCTCAACTCTGCTACTACAAATGATGGGGGGCCAGGCTATAGCACAGCTCCCTAAAGTAATCTGGGTTAAAAATAGCCTTCTGGAAAAGTTTTACTTTTTTGAATCTTGAATTATTTTAAAGTAAAATAATTTCAGCTGTCTGATTTTGCAGGCAACCCTAAAATAGCTGTACAAGCACAACTGACATGGTAACAAACCGACCTACTGAAAGGTAACTTAGCTTCCCAATTTCTGAAACAAATGTGTTGTGTAAATATGCACAAACTATGCCTCCTCTCTGGTGAAGTATAAGCACAGGAGCTTTACTTCCCTCCAATACCAAAGTTTTTAAGAACACTAACATTCACTAAAATTTAATGAATCACAGAGCCTTGAGGGATCAAGATTAGACAGGCTTGGTCCCACTGAAATCAATGAAAGCTTTGCTTCTCCTTGTTTTGAGCTAAGATGTTGTGGTGTTTTTTTCTTTTTTCTCCTCTCTTTTCTTCAGGGAAGGACTAGGAGTTTTAATATAGCCTGGTGTTTGACTGTAGACTATGTTTTATCATATATCAACATATAATCTGGACCATATGAGTATCGATAGACTCTTGTATTAGAGACCTAGGAAGTACAGTGGGAAAGGATGCCAAGAGCTCTATCTAGGTCACCCCTCCTGTCCTGAGACAGGTTCACTCATACCTACAGTCTTCATGGCACTGTTTGTCTAAACTTAGTTTTAACAAAATGTGGTTTTAAAAACCCACACATCTCCTCAGGTAATCTATTCCAGTGTTTCGCTGGGGACTTTCCTCCCCATCTCGCCTGTGTCTGATACATCATCAGTGTTTCCTAGCCACACATCAGGATAGATGAGCAGAATCCCCAGGGGAAACAGCCGTGGCAGCAACGCAGAAATTTGGCATGTGTCTGATGCTGTTTGTTGCTTTTTCTTTTAGCCAAGAAGAATAAATGTAAATCAAACCCAATCATTTAGTGAACATTGATGAGAAATACAGTTGCTGTTAACTGATGTTTCTGCACATACATGAACTCAAAAAGTTGAAAAATCAGTCATTTTCTGGTAATGTTCAAATTCCTTGCCAGGGAATATTGATGGTTTATTAGTGTGGAGAAATGCTGGCATAAACACATGGATACATCTTTTTTTCCTTACAACTATAGTAAGATAAAATCTAATATTGTAGGCTCTGTGGGAAGAGATAACAGTTCTATCGACTTGCACATTTAAAAACAAAACCTACCAACATCGTAAAGGATGTATAGTACAAATTAAACTAGAAACAATATAGAATAAACAAGCTATTAAATCACTTGCCTTCATTGAAACACCACTTGAAAGTGCTTTACAGCATTGTAAACGGTCAAAAGATAAAACCTTGCAGCAGATGAAAAAATTAGCAATCATGAGATAAGCTCCTAACCAGGAGAGACTGGAAGACCAGAGAGGAAATGTAGGTGCTGTAGGGATTCTGTATAGACAGTCAGTTCAGCAAAGTTGAGACAGTGGAAGATGTGGAGGAAAAATTGGACTGCTAGGACGAGTTGAGGTAGTAATAGTCACGAGCAATAAGACCTGATTTGCTGGCATTTTAACTTTTCTTGTAATGTAAAAGAATTATTACATTTTTGTTACACTTTCTTTTCTTCTCTCTCTGAATCCATGGGTATTTCAGAAAATGGAGGACAATTAAAATAGTAAAACTAAATTACTTCGATTCTGGTAGCATTTCTTCAAAAGTGTAGTAACTTTTTGAGGAACCTGTTTTCAAGAGATTATCAGTTTGTCAACACTGTTTACTCATTCCTTCCAACCTCTTAATTTATTCTTTTTTTTAATTGCCCTTAACGCAGCGTTTGGGACATTTATCTTTTTTTTTTTTTTTTTTTAATGGCTCTGGCATGTGACGTGCTACTTAAGTGACAGATTCATTTCGCCTAACTTTATTTCGGTTAAGTGAAGTTTGGTTGTGTACACCGTAGTTAGCAACTGTAGTTATTACAGCCATTACAGTGGGTTAAGAGAAACAGGTTTTCAGGGAGCATGTCTTCTTCCAGCCATTCTAGGCATCTATTTGGGGAAAAAACTGTCTCTGTCTCTACACTGACTATAAACGAAGGTGTAGATGTCTACGTCAGGTCAAGTGAATCATACCCTGAAAGTTGTACTGAATATTCTTAATTACTGAGAGCACTGATTTTGACAGTAGTTTTGTAGTAACTTGTAGTTGTTTCCTTCTTTTGCAATACCTCTGGATTCGATGAAGTGTCTGATGAAGAAGCAAACACTTGCAGACTTTTTGGCTCTGCTTAAATGAGGAGCTAAGAGCACACCTTGCCCACAGGCAAATACATTGCAACATAAAAATGCAAATAGCTTGAAAGAAAAATAGAAGCATTAAAGACACAGCTCTTTATGTGCCCTGGAGGAAGAGGAGAAACTGGCAAGACCTTTGTAAGGCAATTCAGGGAAGACTCATTTGACACAAGTGTGATGACACTCATATTACTGGCATGAAAAGTCTTGACTTGTCACAAAATATACTTTGCTACAGATGCAATTAAATAATGGACAAAATAGTTTAGCACCAACAAGGAAACAAGTTCATATTTAACGTACGTAATTTCACATTTTTCTAATAGAACAGTTAATTCAGAATCAGCTCTTTGAGCATGGTAAATCCCTTACACACAAGATAAATTAATCGATAGCGTTTGTATATACAAAAGAGGACAAGTGTTAAAACTTAATCACAGTTGCTGCTCAACAGCAATTATCTCAAAGATGAACCTCTGGTCATTTGTGACAACTAAGATGGTAATCCAGCTGGTTCATATAACAAAGCAGCGTGGCTACTATTGACTCAAATTAAATTCTGTATTTCTTTGACTATAAAATCATTTGTGCTGCCGTCCTTATCTCTTGACTATCCTCTCTTTCTGAAACAACATGGGGGAGATTTATCCTGTCAGAGTCTTGTGGTAGTGTTTGTGATCACCGGAAACCTATATGAGAGAGAAAAACTCCCACTTAGCAGCAGAAGGATGACAGCTATAATCCCGATAGGAATGGCAGCACCAGCTTCCTGAGCCGCTGGGCTGGAGGGCATGTAGTAAGAAGGAGGAAAAGCAATGCTCTGGTTGTGCAGTACAGAATAGAAATTCCAGCTCACGGGAACCAGGACGCACATGCCAGCGAATATGTAGAGGAAACCACCCACCAGGAAGAAACGGGCAATGAGCATTTTGCGAGCGATTCCCATATAAATATTTCTCAGAGCAAATATTGTGGCAGCCAGTCCCAGCAAGCCCATGAACATGGCAATCAACAGGAGACCTTGAGCAGCGTAAATTTCTTGGGGGATGGAGGAGTCATAGCCACTGAATTTATGGCAGAACTGTTCTTTATAGCCAGGCGAGACGAGAACGTCACTGATGAAGCAGACTCTCCAAATCCCCACCCAAGCAATGCCGGAAGAGATGATGGTGGTGTTGTAAACATACCACACTCTCCATTCCACTATTCCCATTGTAGCTGTGCATAGGATCCAGCCTACTGTACCCAGGGCAAAGGCAGCTAGCTGGAGGTGCGAGGTGCTGACCAGGGAGCTCATCTTCTGGAGGTCTTCTACTCTGTCACAGACACGGTTTTTGTGCAAAGAGAGAGAGGCACTGGAAAGAAACACAGCATAAAATTACAAAGGTAATTATGTGTGTGAACAGGTGGATCTGCCAGTGAAAAGGCAGGAGAGAATACGTGTACAGAGGGAGGATGGAAGTCATCTTTCTCCAACTGCAGTGATTTGTTGAACACCAATAGACAAATAACATCTAAGTTTTAATTCTGTGTATTTCATTGGACCACAAGAAGAAGAAAGGGTCTCTGATTAGCTCTTACTACAGTCTCCATTATACGTTCCCAAAAGGGAAATTCACATCTTTTTCCAAGTTATTTTCTTCCTTGGTAATTAACTGTTATGTTTGAATGTCTTTATGCACGTTACATGTGATCAGGAGCCCTAGTGTTACTGGCTAGTAGAAACTAAACCTGGCAAAATCCTTGGGATCCTGGCTGTTGAAAGAGATCCTACGAAGCAGTTGTGCTCCTCTCTCCTGGCAGCTGTGTTTTCAGTGCAGCAGCCCAGCCTGCAGAGACTTCTGCTTTTGTGCTGCCCTTACCGAGAGCTGCTGGGACCAGTGTTAGACAGAAGATGTCATAGTTCAGAGGCATGAGCAAATGCAGGCCACAGAGTCTAATAACGACCACCGAACATTGACTATTTTTTTGAGTATTTAACTGTGAATGCATGAGCAGAATGCTAATTAATGAATTAATTAATCAGAAATACAAAGCTCAGTTCAGGGCCTGGAGCCTAGATGCACTGCCATTGCTTTCCCAGCCTCAAACTTTAAGCAAGGTTTCTTTAGTGTTTTACCTTTGCAAATCACACTCATTCATAACCTGCCCAACTTCTCCAGTTCGAATTGTCTTAACGCTGTGGTGGAAAAGATTTTAGTCGTTTAGCCTAGCAAAAGATTTTAGGTTTATTTGCTGACTTTCTGAGTGCAAATTAGGGTTTCATTCTAATAAAAAAAAAAAAGTTAATTTCCCATATCTGTTCTTCTGAACCCTTATTAGGAATGATTTGTGATCAGAGAATGGCCTTGATTTTATTGTGTAGATCGGAAAGGATCTTTATGAGTTATCTAAAATACCTTTTCTTCTGCTCCCATTGCATTCAAGACAGAAGAAATACTGTACCAAGTGCACTCTAATAACAAGAAGACAGATCTGCAGCTATGTTTTACTACTAAAGTGATAACTTTTCTATTCACTTATCTTAACCTAACGGATTCAGCGTGACAATCTAGTTGCAAAAATCTAGCTGTGGAAATACTAAATAAAAAATATCTTCATAGCAATATGGCCTTAAGCAAACACTTTCCATCTTCTCATACCAGTGCCCACTATTTACTTACTTCAGTCTCAGAGCTGATGCCAGTGATAAGAGGATGGGACAGAGCGGTTTTTGATGCCAGCCAAACACAGCAACATCTGCAATTTTGTCATTTTGGCCTCCCAGTTCATCTGTCTCCCATAGGACTGATTTCCTGTGGAACATACTAATCTTCATTATTGCAAATGTACATTTAACCCTTTCTTTCATGGAGGAAATTGTTCTGGAATAGTCTCCTGTGTTTCCATCTACTTAAACAGAAATCAATTTCTAAATGCTTTCTCAATCTGCTACATTATTTACAAAGTGATGATAAACCTCCCTATCTAATTAACAGTTATTACCAGCCATTCAGCACAGTAGCCCTACAAGACATTATGAATGGTTTTCTTTCTGTCCCAGTTCCATACCAAAATAGTGTCGTTTCTCTATGTGCCTAGTGATGGGAAGATGCTCGACAGAAAAGAGCGCGATCAAAAGAGTCCTGTGCTCACTCCCTTCTGCTTCTGTTTGAATCACTTGAGCACACAGAGGCCAAACCTGAACCATTTTAAAATACCATTTAGGGCAGAGTCCACACGTCTGTAACACTTTTTGTATACATCATAATCAGTCATTTAAACAGCTTGCTGATATCAAGGTAATAAAAGATAGGTAAGTAGGCTGGTCCATGTCATTGAGAGTTCAGAGTATTATACCTACCTGTCTGTTCACAGAATTAAATGACATTGTATCACTGATATCAAGGTAATAAAAGATAGGTAAGCAGGCTGATCCATGTCATTGGGAGTTCAGAGTATTATACCTACTTGTCTGTTCACAGAATTAAATGACATTGTATCCGTGATTACTGAGCCCTCTATCAAACCTTCACATGCAAAGCTGCTCAGAATGGTGTCCAGAATTGAATTATAAATCTGAAAAATAGGAAAAGATATTTTGTCCAGCGAAGTTCACAAAAAAACACAGAACAAGCAAACATGCAGCATGAAAGAGTTCAAGGCTTATCCAACAATTCTGAAAACATTGGAGAATAACCAGCTCATAAAGATGGGCTTTACATGAGGTACTAAATGTCTAGACATAAAAAATCGCTTATGTAGGAAGTGATTCATTTTGGCTCATTTCTCCACACCCTGCCCACTGGAACTTATTTGATCTAACCTGACAGTGCTGGCTGACTTTTAGAGAAAAATCAAGGTGAAAAGAAGTACTTTCGAGATCGATGGTGAAACTGAATGATAGTTCTCATACTTGCTGTTTTGGAAAATCAGACCGAAGCCTATGCTTATGACCTCTTGGTATTAAGATTCATGAAGAAAATAAGGAACAAAATATCAAGGTGAAATAGTTACAGGTTGCTGACCATATGGAAACATGTCCAAATTCAAAGATCTAGTTCCGGGTTTCAGTCTCTATCATTATGAATATTAATACGTTGTAGGTTTCGCTGGTACCATCAAATGAGAAAGGATAAGTATCACTTGCCAGAAGTGTCGATTTTAAGGGAAGACCTTCGATAAGAACATATTTGGTCTCCAGCTTCTGTCACAAATCCTAAGCCTGAGCACTGCGGCAGGTCACAGCACCTGTGACGCGTCTGTCGTGCCGTGGGACGGGGGCATCCCACCGCGGTGGCCCGGTCACGGCACCAGCCGAGGTCGCGCCCTGTGCCTGCCAGCGGGCAAAGGCCCTCGCGGAAACCTGTTTTCCGCCCAAATGTAGCGAGATATCGTGTATTTTTCAGGACGACCGTGTCAAGTATTTCCCAACAGAAGGCATTCCGCTTGCAGATGCCCAGTAAAACCAGGAGCGAACTGCAGAGGGCGTCTCCCGCCAGGATTTCACCCGCTCCAGCTCCTCGCTTGCTGTGGAACCTCAAGGAGGGAAGGGAAGGAGGGAAGGAGGGAAGGAGGGAAGGAGGGAAGGAGGGAAGGAAGGAAATAAATCTCATAGAAAGAGGTGCTCACAACAGCACCAGGCTTCAGCAGCCACAGCCCTGGATCAACTTTTCGCCTCAGCAGCTGGTTTCGTGACCAGTGTGGGGGCTGAGGTGAACCTATGTGAGTCTCCATCCATGGGAGGGGATGGAGGTCCTGAAGTTGGCTCCCATACCAGTAGTGCCCTTCCTGTGGGTTTCAAGACAGAGGGATCCCCTTTGGAAAGGAAGAATTTGATCCACCACTAACTTGCCATTCACATTAAAAAAAAAAAAAGAATATTTTTTTTTTAAAAAAAAAAAAACAACCTTTTGATACCTGTGCAAATGCCCTTTCCAGCCTCCTGAGAGAAAAATGTGAAAGTTCAGTCCCTGGATGTTTAGAGCTATATTGAATAAAACACAGTTCAAAGCCCAGATCGTATGGCAGTCTGTGCTAACACTGAGAACATTGGCATAAGCTGTTGGCTGCTTTCATGCTTTAGTAATTATATAAATATTTTGGATTAATTTAATTAGTATAGTAAGATTACCTGTATGGTCTGAATAATACAATGATGTAACATGATCACTAAATGAAATTTCCTAAGGCAAATGAACTCATATTCAGTCAGCTGCAGGAGGTCTTCTGAATCATTAGTTGGTGTTTCTGGCATGCGGTTCCTGATTTGGGAGTCACTCAAAGCTGCATTGGCATTCAAAGTCAGTGTGCCAGCTATTTCATGGGATGGAGGTAGCCTATGAAGGCAAACCTGCCAGGAGGAACAAGCTAGGTCTATGTGGTATGTATGCCAGTGGATGAAAAGCATGACTGAAAACCCTTTTCACTCAAAGAAGCAAGAGAAATGCGTTAAAAGGCAGCTACGGTTCCATCTCTTGATATCCTGTGATTTCATCAACATTTTCATTTAAAATTGATTCAGTCCAATCCAATAAGCATTCCAGCAGCTTCTGGTACAGTCTCTAAAGTCTAGAAGCAATAGCTGAAAAAGGAGAGCAGCTTCTATGGGCTTCTCACCTGGTAGTCCCTTGTTATAATTTTCTCTCTTAATATATCTTTCCTTTCCTTCATTTGGAAGGGCTTTCCTTCATGGATGCATTTTTAACTAAATACCTTACCTGAGTAAAAGCAAAATGTAAACTTGCTAGCACTCAAAGGAAATTTGCACAGAGAAGACAGAAGCTAATGGTGAAAGAAGATACATGCTAGTGAATTCATCCAAATATAGCAATTTGAAGGATCCTTTCATCTTTATTGCTTATTTTTATTTAAACCAGGCACTGCACAGTGAGTAACTGTTTAGGAAAAGTGATTGTCCATATACTTGAGGGACAGAATGAGACAGGACTTGCCCCCTCTTAGCTACAAGAAACAGATGAGGATGCCTGGGAGCTGTGTTGACCTTCCTACAGCTGCAAGCTTGCTTCTAGGAGAAAAAAATGGAAGCAAGCTGCCCCCTTAACTGCTAAGTCGTTTCATAGAGGGTTTTTTGGGTCATCTGTACATCAGGCTTACCTTTAAAAATAATAAAATGAAATGCTGCCATCTAAGAGGTAAAGGTCAGTTCTTTGTGGCCACGGTCCCACCTCCTGATATTCTCAGCAGCAGGAGCAAACAGAAATGGAGTTATAC